ACGACGACGTCTACGAGCGCGCGCGTGATCGCGTCGTCGTTCATTCGCGTTTCGTTCAAGCCGAAGGAAGAATTTTTCGTAGCCAATTCCGTAGTGGATTCCGTTCCGGTTGTCGATGACGACGACCGCGCTCATCATCAGTGGACACCGGATTCGGCGTCGCGAATACTCGTCTTCCCCCGTTCGCGTGTACTTACGTGAGTCTTCTCTGTGTGTGTGTGTGTGTGTGTGCTTCCGTTGTTCGCCGCGGGTAGAGCGAGCGGGGAAAATGGACATGAGGACGGTGAAGGATTATCTCGACGAACATCTCGCTTGTATAGTACGTTTTGTACAGTTCCGTCCCGGTGTGAAAAGGTATCGAGATAGCGCTAGATAGATATCAAGGCAAACAGATGGAAACTTGAACAGCGCGGCAGGTTACTGTTCTGATTGGGATCTGTCTTGAGATCTGACAGGAAACAGGATATCTGGAACTTCTTATTCCGTCAACTATTCTCAAAATTGTGCTGCGATTAATCTCTCCGGGAATTCTTCAGGGACTGTACTCTGTGCGGGTACACTACTACCGGCAACTGTCCGTTTAATCTGTGTCGTGCAGGTCGTATCATAAAATAGCTGCGTGCTGATGACATGTGCCGAACTGACAATTGTCTGTAAATGTGTAGAGAGTACAGCCCCAGGAATATTATACATTATATGTATATAATGTGTATATGTTTAAGTAGACTCGGCCTTTCTGGTTTAATTCGAACAAAAATTGACAAAATGTACAACAAACCGTGAATTTCCCCTACAGAAAAGATAATCTTGTCGGGCAACATGATCAGCATAATTATATTTGTATTTTTTTGGAATTAAATCTTTTTTTGTGATTTTGATAGATTCGCATTTAGAAAGGTTGATTTTTTACGGCACCATTTTACGTCATCAACGTGAGAGAAAGACTCGTGTGTATTGAACGTACCAGATTTCTGCGAATGTCTCGAACCCATCTTACATTCGATATAACGAGCTCGCGTATAACGTAGCTAACGCGATCAAGTGGCCGCGCACTGCACAAGCGAGATGTCCGTCGATGATCTTCGTCTTCGCGCATCATTCTCCCCGATCGCCTCCAGCAAAGAACGTACACAACGGGAGCATACAGAGTGAACTCTCACGTAAACGTGCCCGAACTCGGCGTACGCGAGACTCCTCTTGCGTGTACTTACGTGCGAGTTCGTTGTGTGTGCTTCCGTGGTTCAGTCCGAAGAAAGTGGAACTTGAAGAACGGTGAAAAGCTCACCGACGGATATCTCCCCTGTATAGTTGTTTCGTTTTTGGTTATACCGAGCGATCGCACTCGTTATTTAATATTAGACACTAATTCGGGATCCTCGCGAAGACTGTTACGTTCAACATACACGAATCTTCCACGTTAGCCTGTAAGCCAGTAAAAGCTCCGTAGAATTAATCGCCGCGCAATTTTGAAAACAGCACCAGCGCGAACAAGAGAGGGAGAGAGGGATAGAAAGAGAGGGGGAGAAAGTGCATAACGTGCTCGATATTCTTTTACCTGTCAGACTTTTAGACGAATCTCAGTGTGGACGAGTTGCGTGTGCGCAACTTCGAATGTGTCATCGCTCGCGGTTGACACTGCCACTTCGATTCCTCCGCATCGAGACGGTCTAATAATGCGTAGCGGCGATTCGATTCTAAGATACGCCGTCTACCGATACTCCGCGCGCGAGCGAGCGAGCGAGCGAGCGAGCGAGCCGTTTTTAACGACAAAACATTGAGACAGCCACGAAATGCGAAACAATAATCGGCGCACATTCCTATTTTATAAAGACGGTCTCTGCGTACACCGTGGGCTGTTGACAATAGTGCGTATACAAAGCGACTAGAGCTTCATCGAGGAGAAAATAGGATTAAACAGTATGATAATGTATATCATCCATCTCACTTCTGTTCTTTCTGTTTCTTCTTTTTTTCCTTCCTTCTTTTTGCAAATAAAAATATGTAATAACTTTCAGCCGCGTTCTCACGTTCTCCGCGCGATAGAAGCGCACCCCTAATCGTGTAAACCCTCCCCCCCGCCCCACCCCCTCGCTCTCGCTGCCCCATAGTCTTCCCCGTAGAATTTGATAGAATGGGACGCTAAAAGAATGCGATTGTTGTGACAAGGGCGACGAGGCGACGAGGAGACGTAACGAAGAAGACGGCTAAAAGTCTGCCAAGCGAGACTGTCTCTCTCTCTATCTAGCCATGACGGAATTCGTTCTAGGGGATGGATTGTCGAAGATGCGCAGCCTGTCCGACCAGCCGGCCTCGTGTCCTTTGTGCGGCGCGATTCTACGCCAATCGAGAAACCTCAGGCGGCACTTGGAGCTGCTGCACTTCGGCCTAGGCAACAGCGGCAAGACCACCAGTATGCATCCGAGGCACCGGAGACCGGACCGGGTCAACGACTTCGCCCTGTCATCGGCGTTGGCGTGCACCCGACCCACCCCCAGGATAGACTCGCACCTCGCGAGATCCTCCGAGGCCTCGGACTTCCCCATGATGACGCCTCTGTCGATCACCTCGTCCGTCAGTTCCGCATCGAGCGTCAGTCTTCCAGGTGAAGCGCGAGCCTGCCGAGGCCGAGTGAGCCGAAATTCTTTCACTCGGGAACGTTCGCTCGCGAACGCTTCTTCCTCGACAAGATTTAACGCGAGAAGTTTCGCCCCGAGAGCTCTATCCGAAGAGTTCTGCCCGACAAGTTTCACTCGGAAGAATTTACTCGGAAAGTTTCACTTGAAAAGTTTCGCTCGAAAAGTTCTACTCGGGAAATATCGCGTTTCGCAATTCGAGACGAAACGCGCCTCGCCAAGTGGCCCTGTTGATGCAAAAAGTGCCGTTTATAAATCTGTTTTTTTTTCTTCTCTTTTTTTCAAATTTTTGCCGGAAACAGTTTGTCGCATGAAGAGCTCGCAGCGCGCGCGACGGTTTCGTCAAAACGTGAAAAATCACCGGAGAGCGCGAACGCGAGATACGAAATAATCGAGCCGATCAATGAGCCGAACTCGTCGCAAATTCATCGATACACACCCCGGCGCCTCCGCCGCGCGTAGAAGCGCTAAACAACATGGCGCCGTTGAAATTTTAATATCGCGTTTTATACGCGTAACACGATGCGCACGATATTGTCAAAGGATTAGCGGGACGCGTCCAATGTGTTATCTCTTTAAAGTGATTACACCGCGAGCACACGTTCGCGTGAATTACAAGCCTCGCGCGCGCGTTAACGCGAGTATAAATTTTGCATCGCGCCGATTATCAGTGTTTTGTGAGGCGCGGCTCATTGCGTTGCGTCGCGTCGCGATGCCGAGATCTACGCGCGATATTCGGGACTGTTGTCGAACTGTTGTTGCAACGACCGACACAAACGGGAGGCGATTAAAAATCCCTCCGTCATTCGAAATTTCACGCGCATGACTAGAGTGGATCACGCCAAAATGCAATACTCGTTTTTTTTTATTTTCGAAAAGAGGAAAATCGTCATCACTAGTCGACGATACGCTCCCACTTCGGTGGCACCATCGCGAGAAACAGTGATATTAACGTTAATATAATAACAGCAAAAAAGAACGAGAGAAGAATATACCTTGCATCATTTATCAAATACAGATATGTATAGACAGTCCCTCAATCGAGATGTGACGGGACGCGATAAATATCTCACAAGAGACTATCTTTACACGGTAACTTAAGACCGATTTAGCATCATAGTCGCACATTACTAGCACAGAGTCGATTTAATAATATCCGACATTGTATAACCATTTCGATTTTCTATACCAGATAAAACAAATATTTTTATATAAATAATATTAAATATATAAATATTTAAATATTATATTATTTGTACAACGCTAATAGTTGCAACGTCGAGAATGATCAAATCGACTGTGCTGCGGTCAGCTGAACGTAGACTGATGATACTCAGATGTTATTGAAATCTTACATTATCTTTAAAAAAAGCTTTCAACTGCCCGGAATCGGTTTTAAGCCGTTGTGTAAACAAAGACTCGGAGACTCACCCGGGAAACCCCCATCTCGTTCGCGAGGGACCTCGTTTCTCAAATTATCAGGCAGCCCTAATTGCTACCTAATCGGCTTATCGCCATCTAGTCGGAGCGCGCGAGAATAAAAAGACACGACGATACTCGCGGGATCGGCCAATCCACTTTACGTCTTCCATGTCCGCAGGGAACCTGATGGTCCCGAGCTCGAGCCTGCTGAGCTCCGGCGATCAGAACGGGCACACTCTGCCGGGATCGGTCTCGACCTCGTGCGGCACGTCCATGGTACCTCCCAGCAACGGGATCTACTCGTCAGACGGCGGCGCGAGCATGCTGAGCTGCCTGTTACCGTCGCTGCCCACCTTGCCGTCCTTCTCCGCATCTCACGACGTGTTTCGGCACGGCGAGATGCTGCGCGCCGGCATCGCCTATCACGACTCCTCGCGGCAGCATGTCCGGCACATGCAGCGCACCGACGTTACCTAATTCCGCGTGACGTGACGCGTCCGTGTGTACCACGACAACGACGACGACGGTGACGACGACGATTATAACAATGACGACGGTGGCGGTGCATTCGCGCGACAATTTGTCGACTCTTGGCTTGTTTTTTTACATATAGCGGTACCTCGCGTCGCAGAGAAGGCGCGACGCGTTTATAGGCTTTTGCGTTCTATGCGGGAGAATCAGAGAGCGACAGTATTAGTCGAGTACTGGGTAGGTCGTAAGAAGAGCGTTTTTAGAGTATTTTGCGAATTAATTTACATTGTTAGCTTGATAGGGAGAGAGGGAGAGGGGGAGAGAGAGAAAGAGAGAGAGAGAGAGAGAGAATGTGTGAGTGACTTGGCGCGATATACTTGACAGTTTATGGACCTGTACATTAAAATCGCGGTGAGAACGGCACGAGAGAAAGAGCGAGGGAGAGCGAGCGAGCGAGCGAGCGAGCGAGAGAGAGAGAGAGAGAGAGAGAGAGAGAGAGAGAGAGAGAGAGAGAGAGAGAGAGAGAGCGTAAAAACGGCGAACGTATAGGACACGAATGTATCGTATTAGGAATTTTTTACTCGGTGCTGTGTGTACATGGATCCAAATATATGCGACGTATAAATAATAAATTGTTTAGTAACAAAATACACTATCACTGCCAATACTTTCATTCACAGTGACGCAACACCAAGGCGACTCGATCGGCGCGATTTCTCTTTCAGATGGATGCGTGGCTTCTGTTCCTCTTCGGATTTCATGAACCGCCGTGCGGAGAAAATATCGCATCGAACGAAGTATCGCTCATCGAATCGTACGCGTCGACTATCCGGCTAGTGATGAAATTGTCGTGTTCGTCTCGAGAGACTCACTGGTCGAGCTTTTGTGCTAATTACGAAGGAGGGCCACGCGAGATTCTTCGTATCAACTGTTCACGACATTCGGCGACGATTCGTTCGTTCGTTCATCCTCGTGCTTAGGATCAGACGATTAGATTGACTTCTTCGCGCGGCTCGCTGTTGCCCAGGACGAACGGCCAATTTCTCCTGGATATCCTCGCGAGCTCCCCCTGTATGAGCGTAAGCAGATCGTCGAGATATCGCAGTTCGCGGATCTCGCCTCGCAGCCTCGTCGTGTCGCCCGACACGTCGCTAAGTTTCCTCTCGTCGCGCTGCCAATGTGAACATTCACGAAAAGAGGAGGTGAAGTGATCGCAAGTGGCGAAGCGGTAGTCTCGGTAATGGGAATGCAGTGAAACGTGGATGCAACGTCGGGATGCAAATGAGGATGAAAAATGCCCGTGAAATACTTCGGCGGAATTTAACTCGGTATTTAATTAGTCGCGTATCGCTCAGAGAGCGCCGAGAATTCACGGGACAAGTCGACCAACAAATTCCTGCCGCGAAGCTTTTCCTTTCAGATTTTCCCAGTGACAAGAGTGTCATTTAAAAATTCTTGAACAAGTTGTCACGAGTTTTTGTCTGTTTCTTTCTTCATTCGTATTTACATATTTCATGTCTAATAAAAGTTCTATTCCTCAGGTTATATTTTCCTCATTGAGGTTATTTATATTTTCCTCCTCGTTCTCATTCCTGCCTTTGCGCGTTACCTCGTTCTCACCACATTATGTAATCAAAGACTTAATCGACGATTATTATTCTTATTCCTTTTGCGCGCAAGCGCAAATCTTCGCATCTACGACGTTCGTTCCTTACGAGAAATCGAAGGACCTGAGACCTGAGGAAAGCAAAAGAAAAGAAGAAACCGCGACGCGCGAAGCTCGCGTTCGAAGGTGGATTTTGCGAAGGGGGATTTTAATTTCGTATTTACATATTTCATGTCCAATAAAAATTCTATTCCTCAGGTTATATTTTCCTCATTGAGGTTATACTTATATTTTCCTCCTCGTTCTCATTCCTGCCTTTGCGCGTTATCTCATTCTCACCACATTATGTAACCAAAGACTTAATCGACGATTATTATTCTTGTTCCTTTTGCGCGCAAGCGACGTGTCTTCGCGTCTACGACGTTCGTTCCTTATCGAGAAATCGAAGGACCTGAGACCTGAGGAAAGCAAAAGAAAAGAAGAAACCGCGACGCGCGAAGCTCACGTTCGAAGGTGGATTTTGCGAAGGGGGATTTTAATTTCGCGCGGCGGACAAGACGGCGAAAGATGCAGAGCGATTCGAAGAGAGCGAGCCAAGAGGCACTTACTTGAAAGTCCCCATGTAAACCGCGTATGTCGCCGCGGATCTCTTTGTGGCCGTGCTGCAGCCGTTCTATCTTATCGCGCAGCTGGCGTAGCCAATTATTCGGATCGTCGAGAATCGCCGGTACCTCCTCCTCCGCGTCCGTCTCTATAGCCAGAGCTAGCCTGGTTAATTGGTCGTGAGAGGACTTGCAGTCGCAGAATCGATCCTCCTCCTCCAAGAGGACCGTCGCCTTTTCGGGATCGCTCTGAAGGCTCTCGAGGATAGACGCCACTTCGTTGATGGCGGCGGTGTCTCGGTGCTGCACAAACGCGGTTAATTTATTCCGCTTCAATGTGCCGCGGTAATTCGGATTATCAGCCCGGAGTCCAGCAATTTCGCGCGGCTCCCGAGCCGGCCGTCAAGGAAGCGCGCGATAGATAGGGTATTAGCCCAGGCCCCGTACACGCTTATAATCTCCGTTACGACGCTCCGAATCGCGAGCCCTTCTAGCCGCACACCCGCGCGCGTGTAATTACGAAATATACGCGGAGTATCTCGTATCTCGATCCTCCCTATTCGCTCTGACGCGAATTCCTCTCTTCCGAGAGAAGGAGAGATGGAAAAGTTAGATTCGAGAAAGATTAGAGAGAGAGAGAAAGAGAGAGAGAGAGAGAGAGAGAGAGAAAGATAGACTCGGTATTCACGACCCGAGAGACCATAGATTTAAGATCCGTCAACTTGGCGCTCTGTATTTTTTAACGAGCAGACATTGCATCTTCATCATCTTCGGTTCATCGTAAGATGATATCAACGACGACAACGAAGCAGCCGCCATATTATCTGAAGATGAGCACGAAAATGAACACGAAGCGAACGGAACTTCAAGTCTCAAATATAGCGATCTTAAATGTAAGGTCGCAGGGCACGAAGGTTGGTGGCCTATGAATATGTATTTACGTTCGCGTAATCGGCGACCCGGTCGTTCGATGCGATCGCCAGCTCATCGCAGAGGCACATCGGCGGTTTGCTCTGCGTGTCTGAGCTGCAATCGTTGCTCTGTACGCTCGAAGTGTCCTCCAAGGAATACAGACGAGTGTCCGGCCCGTTGCGGACGTCCCAGTTGGCGTTCAGCCTGTCGCAGTTCGGCCCGATGCCGCTGATGGTTTCCGCACTTGACACACAGTGGTCCCGCTCGACCGCGAGATCCTCGCTCGATCTCGCTTCCGCGGCGAAAGCGCCGTCCGCGTGTCGCAAGCTCGCGATTACGGACGAGGAGGTCGCGCGCGTCCTCGCGCGCGCAGAGTGCAGCTCCGGAATCGTCCTCGACTGCGTGGCACCTGCAAATTCGCGCCATTTTCCGTGATTTTCCTCGCAAGTAAGAAGCGTCGGGAGAGACGAGAACGAAAGTCGAGACGAAGCGAGATATTAATCTCCGTCGTACGAGAAATCATTTTAACGGATTTCATCAGCGCTCCTAATTATCCCGACGTATGTATATTCGGTCAATTGATTTTGGAGTGAAATGCCAGTCGGGACGAGTGCGAAAGGAACGATAGGCGAAAGTACCGCCATTCAGAATCGCAACGTTTCACTCCAATTCATAATTTTTGGTATAAGTCGAGCTTCAATCAATTACGGCGAATTTGTTCCTGTCACAGCGGAGCGCCCGAAAAAAGTATTCTATTTGTAAAGTGATTTTTCTCATGGTCTCATCTCTTCTAAGCGAAGTCTTTTAAAAGGACTCCTCTTTCAATAAAGCGATTAAAGTGAACCATTCATCTAATTAAAATTTCTTAGATATTATTCTAATTGTTTTCCTCCAATTTCAAGAGAATTTCCTCTTACATCAGTTAATTTTCCTCTTATATAAAGGGGAATATGTTGATTTGAATGTCGGCTTCTTTTCTTCAGCCATGCTCTGCCTCCAAACATAAACGAAAAAATAACCATATGCTTATAAGTCAGAATATTTGAAACGCTTTTTAAAAAAGGTATGTGTGTTGCTGCAACATATCACGAAGATCATTTATCCATATTTGGTCCTATACAGTTTATAATTTATTGCGAGAAGTTGAATAATATATTCTTCCCTTTAACTATGTTTCATACAATTGGTTATGATGAACATCTTTGTAGCTATGAAGTCCATAACAGAACTGATTGGAACTTTATTTGTTATAATGATTTTTTATTTCATTTGTGTCTACTTATTGTAGAACTGGAGCCAGAACTACATATATATATATATATATATATATTATTTTTCGTTATACATTATAATAATATTTTCAAATTAACTAATATAACCAGTAAAAATAAAGTACAGTAAGAATAAATAATATAATAATCCTCTTAAGAAAAGATTAAATAATCTGTGTACAAGAGGAAATTTATATTAAATCAGTAAGATGTGCATTATACATATAATCTTTCTAACTTTAAGAATAGTGTGTTTATAATATTTTCCTCTTAATCTTACTAATATAATAAGAGGAATCCTCTTGAGGTCATATATAAGAATAAAATCCTCTAAAATTTAGACGATTCCGCTTGTTCTGAAATTACCTTCTCGGGTGTCCTAATTATTCCGACGTATATATTCTATTATTTCCGAGTGAAATGTCAGTCGAGACGAGTGAGGAACGCCATCCAGGTTGAGTACCGCCATTCAGAATCGCAACGTTTCGCACCAGCTCGCAATTTTTAATCCCAGTGAGAGTCTCGATCAATTACTTACGGCAAATTTGTTTCTATCACGCGGCGGAGCGCGTCAGATTCACTCCTCGATCTCGAAGGCGAGCGAAAGATGGCTCGAACTCGAGTGACTCGGTTGCCAAACCGAAACTTCACCTTATGAAATCTCCGTCCGCTAATCGTCAGATACAATCCGAGAGACAATCCCGAGGCGGGAGATAGCGTCGTTAATTTCGACTCGCGAGATTCGCGCTAAACGACTATCGCGCGACGCGCCACGACCAAGACGTCGCGGGGGCGGGAGGCAGCCGCTCGAGCAGCTCGAATTCGGGTCATCGCTTAAATCTCCGAGCAGCGATTCCATTAGCTTCTGCTCCGGTGGCCCGGCGGCGGCGGCGGTGGCGGCGGCGGAGCCAATCGAAGCTCCCGCTCGGATCGAAGCCCGGCCGTTAGCGGCGGCCGCAGCAACAATGCTCGTGGCAGTTTTGCACTCTCACGCTACTCGGCATCTTTCGCGGCAGCACAAAGCTCCCCCGTGGGACGACGGGGCTGCTGGCGCGGGCGGAAGGCAAGTAAATCTGATACGTCAAGCAACTCGATTCCGCGCATTGGTAAACCGCGAAACTTTATTAGGTCAGATGCCATGCCGCGCCGCGCGCCGCCGAGGCCGAGGCCGAGGTTTCCGCGAGAGTTCCGCGCGGACGGTCACTTGGAGGAACGACGGGCTATCCGGGGGTTATCGGCCTGTCGCTTCCTTCCGAGAGGGTGACTGGGATAGAGAGAGAGAGAGAGAGAGAGAGAGAGAGAGAGAGAGAGAGAGAGAGAGAGAGAGAGAGAGAGAGAGAGAGAGAGAGAGAGAGAGACAGAGACAGAGACAGAGACAGAGACAGAGACAGAGACAGAGACAGAGACAGAGACAGAGACAGAGACAGAGACAGAGACAGAGACAGAGACAGAGAGAGAGAGAGAGAGAGAGAGAGAGAGAGAGAGAGAGAGAGAGAGAGAGAGAGAGAGAGAGAAGGTTCGCTCGCGCGCGGAAGATTACGCACCGATACGCTTGGAATCGATGAGGCTGCAGCTCAAGCGTGCCCGGCAACTTTCGACCTCCGGCGCGCGTCTCGCCCTCGACGATCGGCGGGAAAACGGCGCGGGGATCCGGTACTCTTGACATCGAATCTGTCTTCCCGGACTGCAGCGGACGGCCCCGGGCTCCGATTCGTTTCTCGCGCTGCACCCGTCGTCAGTCACGCTCGTGGGCGAACGGTCCTGCGTGTCGGAGAAGCTTCCAATTAATCCTGCGCTCATCGCTCGATGGATCTCGTATGTAGCGCGACTCGTTATCTCGCGACTCTCGGTGACTGCCGGATTGCTTCGTGCCGGATGTATTTCATGTTTTCCGAGCCGGTACGACGGGCGACGGGAAAAATTGACGGATGCATGTTGCAAGGTAATCTGGGGGGGGGGGAGAAGCGGTTTGGAAGAGGTAGACGGAAACTCAGGGAGAGGCTTAAACGCGCGTACGCGCGATGTATCGCGCGGTCTCGCCGACGTAATATCGATCAGTCTTTACAGTTATTTGCTCGGTTATCTAATTAAACGAGGAGTCATGCGGCCCGCTAATCGGATTGGCTACAATTCGCGTAATACGGCCACGAGGAAGATAGAGCAGAAGGAAAACAGCGGTAGAAGAGAGAGAGAGAGAGAGAAGAGAGAGAGAGAGAGAGACAGAGAGAGAGACAGAGAGAGAGAGAGAGAGAGAGGGAGAGAGACAGAGAGAGAGAGAGAGAGAGAGAGAGAGAGAGAGAGAGAGAGAGAGACAGAGAGAGAGAGAGAGAGAGAGAGGAAACCGTGCGCGCAGACAGAGATAAAAATCCACGGTTTCACATAAAGGTGGAGGAAGTTCTAGAAACGTGGCTCGGACGTGAGATGCAGCCATGTGCGGAGATTGTATACGGTAAATAAACTAAATCCGCGCCCAAAAAAGACACGTACGGCGGGGCTCGAGCGGCGAGTTGAATTAAAGCGCGCTGATATTTCGTCACAGGCGTCCCCGCGCGGACTGCCGGCCATGACAAAAAATACGAAGTCCAATTATCGAAGATAATTTTCGGGATTTTGTTAGCGTGAATTGTATGTTGAGCGCGCGCGCGCGCACGGCGCGTACGGCGCGCGTACGGCGCGCGTACGGCAGCTGTTCTTCCTGAGGTATACCCCAAAGCGGAAATCAGCCTCGAATTTTTCGTCCGATAGCAGAAAGACAGAGAGGGGAGAGGGAGAGACACGCGCACGGAGGGGAAGGGTCGCTGGCGAAAATCATGGCTGAAAGATTCCACGGTGGAATTTTTCCACCCGCGCATATCGGCAAATAGCACGCCGCGCTCTCTCACCGTTTCTCCAGGCGCTTTCCTCTCGATCAGCTCGACATCCAGATCATCCCGCGTGAACATACGGAGCTCGATTTTTTCGCCCTCCCAATGCCGGCTGGCCGGCGGTTTCTGCGCTAAGATGCAGCCACTCGAGTCGTCCGAGTCGATGTAGGACAACATCGACGTAGGCAACCCGGATGGTGATCGATGGTCGACGTCGTAGCGCGACCTGGGCGACAGCGCGATTTTCCAATGGCTCAGCCACCAGCCGAAATTCTCTTTCCCATTGGACGGCACCGATGAGTCATATTTCGCGCTGCCGGCAGCGGTGGTATCGCCTCTTCTGTCCAGATAAAACATCGCCCGGCGATTCCTTACGTTTTCCAATCGACGTGGGGCGCGTGCGGATTTCACCACGTTGAAAGTGTCGTCTGCAAGAAAGACGGATTGACGTGCGGGAGAAAATCGTGCCTCTGAGCAATCTTCCCCCTTCGCCCGCGCCGGCGAAGCACGCATCTGAACGCGTCTCGGATTCCTGATAAATTTCATATCCCCCGATTTTGCCGATAATAGATTTCGCGTGCGTCTCTCGCGTCGCGTGTCTCGCCGGCGGCCGTGACAAATTTCGCACGTTCGGGGACGACTGTTCGATGATGAATGCGCGATATCGATCGTGCGTGTATTGCGTGTGTATGTGTATGTGTAAGGCTCGCGTGGACCCGCGTCGAGCGCCTCGACCAATTTATTCCAGCGTTTCACTCATTTTTGTCTCATCATTATTGCTATCCGCAATGACAGTAATAGGATTATTAATTTTTTTCACTCGGTTACAGCATATCCGAATTTTCGCTCGCAAGGGTTGCAAAGCTCGCGCGAGTTAAAGCGAGGCGCAAAATCACGAGCGCGGTAGCGCGCAGAGCCAGCGCCAAAGGCTAATATGATAAACATTAAATCTTTGATGAATCGCGGGAAGCTGCGAGCGGGGGTGCGTCTTTACGGGCGCCGGCAGCTCTGCGAAGCATTTCCTTCGTTTATTCTTTACGCCGATACACGCTTAACTCCGCGAGTTGAGTTGTTTTTGGCTCCTTATTAATAGCGATAAGTAAAACGTGCGCACACGTACGCGCGCGCGCGCGCGCACACACACATACACACACGTGTACTCGCGAGACCCGATCCCTCGTGTACAATCGTCGCGAAGTTCTCATTGTCCGTGTTTTCCCTCAGCACATACAACAGCACCGCAACACGACTCTGTCGCCTCAAACACCCACGCCCGAGGCACGGGCGAAAAAGGCGGCGATCTCGCGGCACAGGAAGAAACATTCAAGAAAATCGCACTATTTACACGGGCCCATAAATCAAGAGGAATATTATTCACGAGATTAACTTCCGACGACGACGATAACGCCACGGAATCCTCGCGCGAGTGCCGACGTTTGTCAACAAATCACCAACACCAACGATCACGAACTGGCCGTCGATCGACGCATCGAGCCAGCCCCCGTGCCGATCGATCGTGCGCTTCGCTACAGCTGGCGCTCGCTGCTACGGAAGAGCGACGATTTTTCATCGGGCCGCACGTGCGATCGCGAGATCGTATGTGTGTGTTTGCATGTGTACACGTGTTGTCTGTATGTGTCGTAGGTGTACGAGACCAATTCGATCGACGAGACACGTGATTGTTACATATCTCTCTCTCTCTCTCTCTCTCTCTCTCTCTCTCTCTCTCTCTCTCCCTCTCTCTCTCCTTCTTCCTGTCTCTCCCGCTTTCGGAAACAGAGAATCACATTTACGTTATGCTACGTTACGTCACCGTGTCATATTTGTCTCGTCGCCGTCATATTTGTCTCGTCGCCGCCGTTGTAGTCGTAATTATTATAATGTATAGTTGCCGTCGCGCGACCGAAACCGGCGCCGATCGACCGCTAAATGCACCGTCCGACTCGGACTTCGACTGCCCGCGGTCACCCATTTCCTTGACCACCGGTCGCCATGGTGACTCTAATTTAATAAACTGTCATTTCCCGCCTCGCGCATCGCATCTTCTCTCGCCTCGCTGTGCCTCGCCGTAACCGGCACAGAACGACGACGATGACGATGACGACGACGACGACGACGACGCCGCCGCCGCTGATGGCGGCAGCGGCAGCGGCGGCGGCGACGGCGACGGCGGAGGAGGTGGCGAGAGCGCCCGCGCGGCGTCGAGTTCTGCTCTGCGGTTTCTGCGGTTTTTTATTCTCTCTCTCTCTCTTTCTCTCTCGCTCCTGCCTTTTTTCCGTCGCGGCTTCTTTTTTTATTTTCGAAGGCCGACCACGCGCGCAATTGTTCGCGAACCTCTTCACCTTTCGGTTTTTACCACGGCAGCGGTGCGGGACTCGTGTCAATCGCATCTGCTCCGGCGGGAATTACCACGCGCGCGTTCGCTCGCTCGCGAGTCTGCGGTGGAATCGCGCGAAATTTGTCACGTGTCACTTTTTCGGTTGTAGAAAATAAAAAAATAACGCGCGAGCGTGTCTCTCTCTCTCTCTCTCTCTCTCTCTTTCGAGAGGCGAACGTACAACACCCTGTGAAATAACTCTTTTTAAACGCGACCGACTGCAAACGCGGTCCGGTGAAACGTTCCCAGTGACGTTCCCTCATTGAATCGCGCGCGTAAAAGCTCGGGCGATTCGGCTCGCTACGCTTTCAACCTATCGGCAAAAACAAAACAGCCGAACCCGTTAACTCTCCGGCCGAGCGGCAAAAGGACTTTCTTAAATATTAGAGAGAAATCGAGCGCGTCGACGAGTGTACAAACGTACCGGACACCCACGCGGCTGTCACCACGCTGCGCTGTCACCGAGTGACATCAATCCTCGGCGATTACACGTCGTCACCGTGTCACAACTTCGGATTCGAAGCTCTTCGGCCGTGCCGGCTGCGATTTTCGCCCGAGAGAGTGCTCGCACCTCCGCACCGTGTCCGAAAGTGGCCGCCAAAAGTCGCCGTTTCAAAAAATACGCGTCCGCTAATTACTTCGCGATCGCCATCGGAATAAACACGTCGGGGCTCGAATGTTCGTGACATATATGTATGTGTATGCGAAAGAGAGAGAGAGAGAGAGAGAGAGAGAGAGATATATATATAAACAAAATGACGGTTCCTATTGCGACGGTGCAACGACGCAGTACTCCGCACGCTGCACTCGCGATAATTCGCTGACCCGCGTCCGCGGCTGATAATTGCAGTATCGACTCCGCTCACGAAAACACGCGCGCTATCGCCGAACCAAGAGCTCGCACGTCCCCTCGCGTCGCGCGCAAAGGGGAACGGCGTCTGAGAACAGCGAGAAAATTCGAGCACGGCTCGGCCCGGGAGAATCTTGCAGGCTGACGTTTCGTTCGTCGCGCTCGCGCGCGCTAAAGGACGCTCCCCTTTCATCGAGCCCTCCGCCGCGCCTTTGTGCCTCGCGCGATACATTTCGGATGAAATATCAGCCGGGCAGGCAGTCTCGGACATTTCCGCGGAGACGTTTCGACCAAATGCTTCGCGATTTTTTCTTCATCGAAGAAAGCGCCGGCCGGCGAATTCCTCGCCAGCGCGCAGAAACACAACACCACGCGCCGATAACTGCTATCAAAGACGACACTGCAGTTATTCTCGATAAGCTTGTTACCGCTAACGCTGCAGTTTTGCTGATTGCAATTCTTTCGCTGTTCTGTGAAAAAATGACAAATTATTTTCTCAGAAAATAGCTGAGCTCTCCGTCTTGCCGACAGTATTCCTCCCGAATTAGAGACTTTACGATCGACGAGTGCAAAATACCAAGTCGTCACCGAGACCCACGAAGAGTCTTTCTCTTTCTCTCCCCCTCCCTCCCTCCTACCTCTTTTCTTTGTCTTTTTGGACAGTCCGATCGGCCGGATTAGTTGTCACAAGAGCTATTGTCATCCCGCGAGCGGGAAGCACCAGCCGGGGGGCGAACTCGCGAGCGACGGTATGGCCGACCCGGTCGGCGTCGCCGTTGTCACGGTTTGCTTACACTGATTAATCGCCGGGGACGGCCGGCACGTACCGTAAATATTCGATTATTCTAATTCGCCGGGTATTAATTCAATCGACGGAAGGAAGGTCGCCGATTGTGTTTGCGCGGTGCAAACGTCCAATCACCGCGGACACTCTCCATCCCCGTCCCTCCCTCTCTCTCCTCTCGTCTCGGTTAGTTTGCCTTTTCACTTTCGTTCTCGAAAGGAGGCGATAAGCGGCTGACCGGCTTTTATTTCCGTTCCCTCTTTCTCCTTTTTCTCCGCTATCGCGCGTCGCTTCGACCGCGGCCGAGACTCGCCGGCCTCTTGACACTTTGAAAGCTCCTTCGCGCACTGACACGATCACCATATTGTTCTCGGATGCGTGACGGAAACATCGAGAAAAAACAAAGAGGCGGAGAGAGAGAGAGAGAGAGAGAGAGAGAGAAAGAATGCGTGGAAGCTGATTAACGTTCACGGAAGAAAAACAGGGCGAAGAGTCGAAGTCTGGCTTCCCGAGAGCTTCGAAAGCGCCAATACGTCCGTTCGTCTCGTCTCGTCTCGTGACCGTAATTGCCCGATAATCACGCTCTTCTCGTCGACACACGACATAACAATATTAATAGATGCGATATACACTCCCGGCGTTCGGAGCAACGATAAAAGTGCCGACTCGCGGCCTGATAATTCGACGCGCGCGGTGCAGCGCGCCATCGCGCGGCGCGTCAACACGCGCGCGGACTGTCTTGCAAAATAAACTACTGTTCGAATAGTCAGCCTGTGGTCTAAGGGTACGATTAACCACCGCAGACCGCGAGACCAACGTGAGAATGCGGGTATTCGAGACTACATGCTGATTTTCATTTTTTCCGGGGGATTTTTACGGTCAAAGTCCGCGCGACCGGCCTGCGGCCGGCCGAGCGATCGAGCAAAGCGGGCCGAATCGCGGAGGAGCTGGTTTTTGGAAACGAATATTCATTGGGACGAATGACGTCGACAGACCTTGATCGAGGGAGAAAAATGATCGGCGCATCGGCGATAACGTTATCGACGTGCCGTGCAGCGCCGCTGCACTCACTATCAGGTATAATAGATACGCGTATACCTCCGCGTTAACCAGACCGAACGCGACGCGCGGCTTCTATGTATCGTCGTCGAGCCGAGAGAGTGTCCGCGAGAACAGCTCGCGAAATACTCGGCGAAACGCGAATCACGGAAACATTGCTGTCGCAGGAGCGCCGCAGATGTCTGAGCGAAGTCACGGAGAACGTTCTCCATCGTTCTCGTATCGACTCCGTCGAAATTCCGTCGAGCTGCAATCTGGAAACAAGGTCGACCGGAATTTATTCAAAATTCATTTTGCGCAACTCTTCCGCGAGATCGAAACGGGGCGAGATTTAATTGGCGATTATCCGTGTCAAATGTCAATTTGTACTTCGTATATTTGTCGTTGCCTCACGGCTGGCGAATATGCTCCCCGACATTTGTTAGAGATTCAACGCGGTAATCCGTGCTCTCCATGCATCAATTAAGAGGACTGGAGGGTCAGATTGCTGAAAAATCGTGCTTGTTTCTGATAATATTTTATCAAGGACGAATTGAATAAATGTGCAAGAATAAAAATTTTAGATATAGTTATACAACATATGAAGAGTAGAAAAATTTTGTTTATTAACACATACTCGTATAAATATACGATATAGCTGAAATATACTCTCCTTTTTTTTTCAAATTATCGTTTTTGCAGTAATATCTCGGCTCTCGGTGGTCCGATCAGAGCGAATTTTAGCTAGAAATCTTAGCGAAGAAATCACTGCAAAAAGTTGAACAATAAAATTTCGAGAAAAACGCGTTTAAAATTCAAATGGACGTATATTTATATGTTTGTTTAAATTTGTTTAAAAACAAAGTTCCTCTACTCTTCATATGTTATATAAATATATGTAAAATATTCATTCTTACACATTTACTCAGTTAGTCACAAAACTATTATCAAAAACAAACACGATTTTTCAATAACCTGACCCTCCAGTCCCCTTAAGGTTTAATCACGGTAATTCGCAAGCGGAGCGCGTATTCTTCTCCCGACGTTGGTTTTGAGTTCCGCGTCACCCGGTACGCATACGATTGTTTATAATCGCGGCAGCTTAACCTTGTCTTATCGTGCGGCCGATCATTTTCAGCGCGATAAGACCGTGAAATAGATCGGCTGTGAGTCACGCGTGTCATCATATCGTGCGAGAAACCACGGGTGCGCATCTCGCGGTTTCGCGAGACCGGAGAAACGAGAGGAAGGATCGGGTTAGTTGAATTACACGGCGGGCGATTGAAATTATATCGACGCTGTTGGATAATAAGCGTGTCTCGATGCAACAATGTCGAGACGCCTGGCAATTGCCTTCCTCCACTCGGCTCTCGGCAGGAAGCTTATTACGTTCGCTCTCCGCGAGATCGCACAATGCTATCCCCGGCATAATCCCCGACACGAGGAGCTTGCGAAAGCTCATCGGACCGTCGATCATTTCGTCGGCTCGACAGTTGTTATCTCGCAGACGCGGGATCGGATAATTGCCGGAGGCGAGGAGGTGGCGGATCCTGCGATTGAAAACGAAAAATACCATTTCCTTATATTATTACTCGCTTTGCTGCTAATAAAGAGTAACAAATATCCGACGAATTTCTACAAGCTCCTCTGTAACCTAACCTCTCCGCGATACTCCCATAAAAAATAGAAAAGAAATATCGTCGCGATTAACGGATGTCAAATTCAACTAATCTCGAAATTCCACCAAGTTCCTCCCTGAAGAGGTTAACGCGCGCGTGACAGTTCCTGATGACCTTCTCAGACGCTTTCGCAGGTGAAACCGAGGAACACGAAGGCAAGCTATACCTCGACAAGTTAGCCTCGACTAAGAATCTTCTCGCAGAATCCCCGACGCGCGTTCTCTCCTCAAGTGAATATCCCGAAGAACGAGCACTATCTCCACACCCCAATTTCGACCTGCTAGAAAATCCACATCGGCAAAAACCCGGAATCACCGTGTCCAGGTGCTCATACCTCGCTCATACTCTCGCGGTCTCCCAAGCGCCGCGGCGAATTCGAACAGGTGCGGCGCACGCGCGGCAAGATGGCGGGGCGCGCGTCGGCGGGGGTGGTTATTCGGTGTCTGCGCAGCGCGAGGGTGGCACGACTGGGTGGTGGGTGCTTGTTCGTTCGCTCGTTCGCTCGTTCGCTCGTTCGCTCGCTCGCTCGCTCGCTCGCTCGCTTGCTCGCTTGCTCGTCCGTTTGTCCGTCCGTCCGTCCGTCCGTCCGTTGGTCCGTTCGTCTGTCTGTCCGTTCGTTCGTTCGTTCGTTCGTTCGTTCGTTCGTTCGTTCGTTCGTTCGTTCGTTCGTTCGTTCGTTCGTTCGTTCGTTCGTTCGTTCGTTCGTTCGGTGGTGGCGGATCGATAACGGCGCGACGGTAGTGCGCGAACACGATGAGCGACGGTCGGCGGTCGTCGCCGTCGCCGTCGTCGTCGTCGTCGTTCTCGCCATCCTCGTGTCCAGGTCCTCGTGTCCTCTCGTCGTAACTGTGGTGTTATTGGGTCGCGCGAATCGGCGAGTGCTCATCAGAAGCGTACGTCGACAGGCCGAATGCCAATGACGTTGGCGCGTTCACAGGACGAGCGTTGTCCGCGGTAGCTCTCGGTCCCACGAACACAAACCCTTCGTGGCCGATCGCTTCTCCTCGCGACAGGACAGTTGGTGCAGCGCACAGCGTCGCGGCGCGGCGCGGCGCGGCGCGGAGCGGAGCGTCGTCGCTCAGCCACTTCCGGTGACGTGACGTGAAGCGAGTGAACGAGCTCGCGAGCGGACGCGTGATCCGGTCGGGAGAGGACGGGAGAGGAGAGAGAGAGAGAGAGAGAGGGAGGGGGAGAGAGAGAGAGAGAGAGAGAGACTAGTGTGCTACGCGTTTTCCGGATCCGGGAGGTTATGAACACACGGCGCGGCTGCGGCGGGGAGCTCGCGGCGGAGCAGGAAGCCGCTCGCGAGTGGTGAGGAGCCCGCGCGCGTCGAGACGCGCGCGCGAGCGAACATGTCGGCGACGTCCTGGAGCGGGACCCGCCGGTGCGCCGCGACGCCGGCTCGCAAGAGGATACGTCACCTCCTGCTGACCGCCGTCCTCGTGCTCGGTCTGTTCACCGGCACCGTCGTGTGCGAGAAGAGCAAGAAATGTGAGTACAACCGAGTCACAAGCGAACAGCGGCATGCTGTCGCGTCGCGCCCGCGCATGTTTCGTTCGGGCGAGACCGCGGCGCGGTTCGCACCCCGCGACTTTTATCTCGCACCCTCGGTACACGTGGCGGCGTCCGACGCGCGTGCATGTCGCGCGGCTCTCGTCGAGATGCGATTCCTCGTGACGGCGATCAGCTTCGGGCCGACGAGGCCTCTTGCGGAGGCGCGTAGTCGCCGCTTGCGGATTTAAATTAGCGCGCGACTTTTGAATTTCCGACACCCGCAATGGCGATCTGAAAGTCGTCGATTGTCCGGATGACACATGCGGGGATGATAACTGTTCTTTCATTGTCGCAATGACGAGGAACGCATTCGGGGAGAATCGTGAAAGATTTCCCGGCGAACCGTGTGTGGAACTTTGTGCTTTGCAGCACGGGGAGAGCTTCGGCACACTTATCGTTTCTCTTTGTCCGAGTATATTTTGCGTTATACGATAATTATCCTAATATGCTGCAATTATAATATTTCAGTGCAAAAATGCGCTGCGTTATGCCACGTGCCACAATGAAAGGGTGTGAGAGAGAGAGAGAGAGAGGGGGGGAGAGGGAGGGAGAGGGAGAAAGAGAGAGCACACGAGCGCAAGCGTGGGAAACGCGGCGCGAAACGCCGCGAAGAACGACGTTTGTTTCACGCTCATGCGTCGATTTTCGTCCGAGATGCGGACGTTCCAAGTTTTCAAATGGCGGCGCTTATTCATGTACGCTACTGGGCGCGTTTCTACCTGCATATTGTAGCGTATTTACTACGCCGCGTATACCCTCGTGCCGCCACCTTTTCGGTGTGAACGTCGGCACACGGCTCGGATCGAAGAGAAACGAGTCGCGGCGAGTCATCGGCGAGTCCCCGTTTGAAATTCGCCGCTTGTCGAGAAATAACAGCGACGTGAAGTAAACAACAGACGGAAACTTGAGGCTACTTTTCGCCACAATCGTTTCCTTTCGGGACGAAAGAATATCGGCGGTTTATTTAATGTAGCGCCCTATTGAGAAACCGATTACCCACGGCGAAAAATATAAACTCGCTACTTTAATTTTATTATCTGAGCAAGTCTGATATAAAGTGAATCACATTGGCGGAGATGGAAAAACATTTCGTTTGTATAATATAGTACTTACAGTTTTGGGGAAATTATAAATTTATATTTATAAGTTGTTTATATAAGCTGTTCCTTATTTTGCGTTTTTCCCGTGCGCTTTTTGACTTTATGAATATATAGAGACCGCGATTAAATATAATTATGGTGCTCGCGAATATTACACGAAAGCGTAAAACAAGACCTTTAATGAAATCAAATGATTTTATGCTCTTTTGCGCCGGTTTACAGCAGCGTGCCGCGCCGCTTTCGCAAGAAACGGGAAAAACTTGCGCGAGCGTTCTTTACAGCACAGTCGGAATACGATTTTTTTATTAATCCATTAATAATCGATCCCGCCGCGTAAGCAGCTTGCGTCGCTCGTTTCCCCTTCTAATTCCGTCCGGAGGTCTCTCATTAAGTGCTCGGAATAAAACACAGTGATTAAACCGTGCGTTTATCGTCCGCCGAGATCTGAGCGAGAAACTTAGGGATACTCGATCCGGTCCCAGGAAAAAAGTTAAATTAACCCCAACTTTAATCGAAGCGGTATAATCGACGGCGCACGTAAAATCCTCCTTTTGATGAAATTGCCTCGTTATCTGAACTTCGTGAGTGCAAAAGCTCACCGCCGCTCCGCCGCGCCGCTGCCGCGGATTCGGTTAAAGGGATCGGACGTCCGTTAACCTCCGTCAGACACGCTCGTTAACATAGCACACGAATCACATTTTTGCCATTAACCGCCGTCGTGCTCATCTTCAGCGACACGGGCTGGGAGGGGGCAAGGGGGAGATGCAATGCACTCGCTACTGCTGCATGTGTTTCTCGCGCTTTAGCGAAGTTGCAACTCCGCGAGCGGAGTTTCGGCTTGAGCGCAATTCTATTCGCGAACCATACATCCTCGAAGAATCATATTTATAGACGTACACACACACACACACACACACACACCGCGCGCGCGCGCGCGCACGCACCATATGTACATACGAATGTGCACACGGGTGTAAATCCAGCGTGTTTTTCGTACCTCATCACGACGCGTAAGAGTACAAGCGGAAATTCCAGATCTCGCGCGAGAATTATACACGGAGCCCTCAAAGCGGTCTTCGTCAAAATTTCACGAGCGAGAATATCCAACGAATTCGCAGCCGCACATCACGTATGCGAATCACGCGCGTCACGCTCTATTACATAACATGCATGTTCTTGGCTAGTTTCTTCGCTTTTGTTAATCGTCCGGCCGGCCCTCGGATGATCTCTCGTTGCGTCTTGTCGCCCCATTTTTCCGCTGTCCCTCTTACCCTCGCCTCCCCCCCCCGCCCCCTCCCTCCCGGCCCGCCGTCCCAGAGTGGCTTGTTTTTGTTAGCTTCCGGTTCCCATCGCGGGCGAGATGCTTGTGTCTCCCTCAACGACATAATAAACTCTTCTTTCTCCTCTTCCTCCTCCTCCTCCTCCTCCTCCTCCTCCGTCACGTTCCGGGTTCCATCTCTGCCTCACCTTACGCGTTTCACAATCCGCACAATACCTTTCCGCTGCGCGAAACCCCTCGCGAAAATTACTATCCTCATTCGCTCGCGGGCAGAAGTAATAAAAAAAGATAATAAAAGATCCTCCCCATTATCCGTCGACGTTACTCGTTAGACTTCGGCAATGCGGACCGCTCGAAATATCGACGCTCCATTCTCCACTTTTTACCGCTTTCCGTATCTCCGAGATTCTTTCGCTCGCCTCGTGAACGCTCTTCCACGTTACATTTCAACCCCGTGCCCCGGTTTTCCTCTCTCTCTCTCTCTCTCTCTCTCTCTCTCTCTCTCTCTCTCTCTCTCTCTCTCTCTCTCGCGTGACGGCTCGCGTGCATTTACCGCGGGCGCATTTAATTTCGTTCGACAGACTTCCGGAAGTCATGCCCCCTCCCCCCTTTCCCTCTGCTCGTCTCCAGAGAACGACCCGTCCCGAATATCGTGTAATTAATTATCCCCTTCCCCCTCCTACCCCCGCAGCTGGCTCGAGTTAATCCGTTTTATTATTTCGTATGTATAAATTTCACGATACCCGCACCACTATCGCCGCCGCCAACTTGGTGCGCGACGGAATTATCGTAACGCCGCGCCGCGAAGTATCGGCACGCGAAAATTGCGGTAATCACGCCAAAGTTACAGCGGAACAACGTTAATTATTTGCGCCGGCGACGACGGCGGAATTACACCCACCAACCCGGTCGCCGGGATGCAACACGCGGGGACGAGGACGGGGCCGATAAACGAAGCTAGTTACGACAGTCGAATTAGTCCAGACTAACGGCGTACTGACTAACAAACCGACGAACCAACGAACGATCCATCAATCTATCCGCGGGCCGATCGATCCAAGCGACCCGTTGTCGTTCGGCTTGACACGTGGTCGCTTGATCGCACGGCAGTTCGCAAAAAGTTATTCACCTGCGAATTCCGCGATTCAACGGACGGGATGAAACGATACGAGGGAGGAGAGAGAGGGGGCTCGGGGACGGCAATACACTTGTCCGTGCGACTCGCGATATTTTATTAACCACGATATTAACTGCGATATTATCCGCTAACCGACTGACCGCGCGCTGTTTTTCATCCGGACGTTGATAAATGTCGGAAGATAGCGCGAGGCCGGCCGTGGATCGCCCATAACGAGATTGAATTAATAAAGGGGCTCGCGGATCGTATTTCACGCGAGGGAAAGGGACAGGGAACCGACAATATTTTCATTTACAACGGTGATATCGTTCCGTTGTCCGACACAATACATGATGCAGATGCGAAAACTTCATATCCGCGGGAGCTCGCGGTGCTTTGTACGCGCGAATTTTTTTCCAGGAATATCGCCACCTCCCCTAGCCCGTCGTCCCGCCGGTCAATCCGCGCCGTCGCAGCATCTAAAGATCCATATATAATCCGAATATATTGTGAAATATATAACAGTGTATTTCGACGTGCGCGCGAATATCGGCCTTCGTAGTCAAATTCTCCATCCACTGACACCGCCGCCATATATCGATTTTATTTTTTATCACGGAGAGTTTTTCAAGGGAATAGCCGCTCTTCCACCTCCACTACTTCCTCCTCCTCCTCCATTGTTTCGAAATATTTTGCACGTGTTGTAATTTAGGGGAACGTGTACACAGCGCAAATATCTACCCGACGCGCGGCCGAGCCGTCTGCAGGCGTATCGCATTTCGCGTCGATGGCGTTTTATTTACATTAATAACCGCGGCGCGAGAGCCCGCAAAGTGCCTTCGTACATACAAATGTTTTTCTTCTTTCGTCACTGCGCGCGAATCCGCGCATTTGCACGTCCAATTACGGGCGAAAACAACGAGCAGGAGGTTTCGAATGTGCAAACAGAACGCGCGCGCCCGATGGATGAGTTTCGTGATACCCGCGCGTTTCTCCATTTCCTCCTTTCTCCGCCTTTCTCCGTCTTCTTTTTCGGCTTAAATTCATTTTTACACGTACCCGCTACTTCTCGGCTGCCTGTTAACTGTCTAATTTTCCGACCGAGCGAGCGGTTAACGAGGTCTTACCCGGGATATATTCCTTGCCGTCCTACTTAACTATCGCGAAACTCGAGCCGGTATACACTGTATCTCTCTCTCTCTCTCTCTCTCGCTCGCTCTCTTTCTCTCTCGCTCGCGCGCGCGCGCGTCGTATCGATTTTGTCCCCGGTATATAGATCTTCGCCGTTAGATAGAGTCGCGCACTCGACTGTCCCCGGGTCCCCCCTTTCTCTCGGCCCGGAGTACACTTGCTCTATATTTGCAGCGGACTTTCAAGGGTCCACTACTACTACTCTCCCGTGTCTTGCATCCCGCGTCCGTCTTGCGTCCCCGAATCCGTG